CAGTGTGGATCCTGAGGGTGAGGAACCCCTGATATTTACCTCTCTCCATTGTGAAAATTGACCCTTTGTTCCCTCCCCTTGCTTCCTATCTTTTAACCCATTACTGATCTATGAGAGGACTTTCTCTTTTATCTTTTGACTACTTATGATATACATGGAGCTCTGGAAACACCTGGAAATACAGGACCACCTTCATGAAAGCCATATGCCTCCATAATGGTTCTGAGGCCCCTTACATCTTTCCATGGCTCCAATGAAATGGTGTTGGCAGGGCTTCTCTTAGTAACAGCCCCTAGATATCCTAATTCCTGATATCTCGCAGGGCTGGGATGGAGAATGAGGAACATAATGCCTGGTCCTTCTGGCCACACTGAACTTGCCAGCTGTCCAGGCCAGAGAGCAATAGTGGCAGGGGTGGCTTCCCTCTACCTCCAACTGCATGATTGGAGAAGACACATGCCAGTCTAAAAGCCCCAGTTATTACTGGGCTATGTCTACACTGGCCCCTTTTCCGGAAGGGGCATGTTAATTTCAGCTATCGTAATAGGGAAATCCGCGGGGGATTTAAATATCCCCCGCGGCATTTAAATAAAAATGCCCGCCGCTTTTTTCCGGCTTTTAGAAAAGCCAGAAAAGAGGGTCTACACTGGCCCCGATCCTCCGGAAAAAGCACCCTTTTCCGGAGGATCTTTTTCCTACTTTGAAGGAGGAATAAGATCCTCTGGAAAAGGGCGCTTTTTCCGGAGGATCGGGGCCAGTGTAGACACTCTTTTCCGGCTTTTCTAAAAGCCGGAAAAAAGCGGCGGACATTTTTATTTAAATGCCGCGGGGGATATTTAAATCCCCCGCGGATTTCCCTATTGCGATCGCTGAAATTAACATGCCCCTTCCGGAAAAGGGGCCAGTGTAGACGTAGCCCTGGTGTCTGGTATAGACTGTTATAGTTACAGAACGCAAAATACCTGGAAACTATCAGGTTCAAAATTAAAACTAGTAGTATGAACAATTAATGACTCATACTTATGAGCCAAACAATCACTGGAGGATATACAAGTGCAGAGCCAAGATATCCCAGACAACCTTTACTATGCCCTGCCATCCTCACCAGCCATTTGAGTTAGACATGTACCTAATACAAGCTAGTTTACATGTTGAACTCTGAATCCCTTAATACTATGACAATTCAGCAAGGAGCCCAGTCAGAAGGAGAGACCCTAAAGCCTGTATTTATTATAATTTAAAAGTATTTTAATTTTCCCGTGTCTGCAAACATTTTTAAACCACAGCCACATGGGTTATGTAGCAAAGTATACATAGTCCAGGTGCAGCAACATACCAGTTTTACAAGGCCTGGCCTGAGGAAAGCATATTATGAAGATAGAATGAGAGATGGAAAGGTTTTTGGATTTCAAATGCAACACAATAGGGATAACCTGCTCATTTACACCACTCTGTATCTGAGCAACCACCTGCACATCATGTAATTTTGCCTCATGACACTCCTGGGATGCAGCAGTAATGTTGCTATGCCAGTTCTACCATGGAAGAAACTGAGTCACAGATTGGTTAGCGCCTAAATTTTCACAAACATCCCTATATTTTGGATGTCTCATTTTCTAGGAGTCCAACTTCAGGCATGACTTTCAAAGGTGCTGAACTGATTTAGAGCTGTGGATGCCCAATAGTTTTGAAAATCAGGCCCAACATATCAAATAGGGACCTAAAATTTTGAAGAACCCAAAATCATTACCCACCTTTGATAATGTGGGCCTTGTGACACAATGCCACAGTAACCCATAATAATAAATGTTGATGGGTACACATGAAAGAAAACCAGACAGAAAATATGTATTAGTCCAAATATGAAAGCCTACTGATTATCTCAAAGATGGTGTGTAGGTCATACTTGGTAAACAAGAAAATGTGGATCCAGAAATCAATAAACCAAAACTGGAACACTCGATGTTAGACCTAATTGATGAAAAAAATAATGAAGAGATGGGCTATGCCACTAACTACTCCTTCTTGGGTCCTAAAGAAAGAGACTTTATGGGGTCAGTGGGGTGAGGAATAAAAAGCTTTTATTTCAAAATAATGTTGAGGTAGAGGACTTTTTACTCTGACTCCTATAACCATCCCTTCTCAGACTTCCTTCTGTGTAGTCAGCCCCAAAAGCCAAAATAAGCTATTTTGATTTACTTACTTGGAATACTTGGAAGATCCATGATTTCATTGATGCAGATAGTCTCGCCACAGATGCAGATCGCAACTTTTTTACCGACTTGTTTTGTGTGGTTCTTGTCCATGTCCTTCCATGACTCTTCCATAAAGGATCCACCCAACATGCTGAAGGCCTTCCTTTTGTTATTTTTACATCTCATGGATACCAATGGAGTATATGCACTGTCTATCTGTTGTCTTTCAGTCTTGCTACATGGCCAGCCCATCTCCATTTCTGATTATACATAACTTGGATGATATCGTTGAGACCATCCATTTGTATTAATTTATATGTTGGCACACTTAATGTGCAATCCTTCTCAAATGATGAACAGGTCGATATATTGCTGGAAGAATTGCATTGTATTTGCATTGACATTCTTGCCATAACTGAAACCAGAAGAAAAAAAGGAAGTTGTGGCAAAATGGAAGGATGTATCACAAATTCTTCTGGGAGCAGCAGATGGAAAAGTCAGGGGAGTTGGATTTATGGTGCACCCGTAGGTGGCAGGAAACATCATTTCATGAATAATTTTATCATCTTTGGAGTGCGCTTGATGAGTGTAGCAAATGGGCCACCATGAAAATAATTGTAGCCTATGTTCCAACATCCACTGTGGAAGACGAAGTAGTGAAAAGGTTCTATGAAGAACTTGATAGGATTCTTCAGACTAAAACAACATTCATGGTGGTGCTTGGCAACTTCCATGCTAAGGTGGGTATAGGAGAAAATTGAGAAAACTATATCAGACAATATGACTCGGGTGTAAGAAATGAAAGAGGTCAAAAGCTGGCTGACTATGCATAAGCCTCACATCTATATATCATTTTGACTTAAGCAATGCAATTGATGTAGCTCAAGTTGCGTAGCTTATTTTGGCTTTAGCCCTGCTGTGTAGATGTGCCCTTAATGTTTTTAATCAGGAAGAGGTACTGACATAACCTTTAGAGGTGGAGTCACCTCTCATTCCCCTGTACAGTTAGGCAGAGGGGGCTGTGCAGAACAGTTTAAGTGCACCAGGATGTTCCATGAATCCTCCATAAAGAATTCAAGGAAACTTTCTTGAAGATTATCTAATTCTCGGATTAACATTTCTGGGGAGAGCTGGCTGGCTTCTTCCATCCTGGTTGGATCCTTTCTCATGCCACTCAATAATTACTTCAGCTGGCACCATTGCAGTGCAGAGGCTACTTCCATACAAACCCTGTCTGTAACCAGATGCCTTCAGGAGCTGTTCCCTTTCAGCTTCTGTTACCTTCAAGAGTGCAATATTAGGTGAAATCACCACTGTCTGTGAAAAACAGTGTCAGTGTTCAATTCATTTGCCCTGTAACCCTTCTGCCAGGTAGCGCCGGCAGCAGGCGGAGCCAGGTTCAATATCTAGGGGTCCCTTTTCATCCATCTCACACAGAACCAGCTCGAGCCCCCACCCAGTAGCCTGGGAAATTCATACACCCCTGGGTGCCTCTGAGAGGCAATGCTTCCCCACTCACAAGCACAGAGTATGAGTGTAGAAAAGAAACTTTTAATGAAAGAGGGAGAGAGGTCACATGGCATTAGCTTGGGAAAATACCATGAACAGAGTTCATAACCCCCCACGAGTAACCGTCCCAGCTCAAATGGATTGAACAATGTCCTTTGCCTCTTAGGCTCATTAGTCCAACAATGTAAGGGTTCCATTCACTTATCTAAACTTTCTCCATACCCCACTTCAAATGCCCCACTTACAGTTCTGTCCAGTCAGTGCGGACCCTGACACATCACCCTAATAACTCCACACATTGAGCCTGAAGCCATGCCACCTTTGTGTTACTCCTGTAGTCCACTGGCTCCACCAGCCATTTCTTCTGCTGGCCACCTGCCGCTGCTCCTACTGGCCACCCGCCATTCCCACCAGCCACCCTGCTGGCCACCTGCTGCTGCTCCTACCGGCCGCCCGCCAGTCGCCCCTACTGGCCACCCACCGGTCGCAATGGGTTTGGCTCCAGGCCAGACCAGTGACTTCAGCTCTTAGTGATTTCAACTCTTAGCCACCACCAAGGCTGGCCAAATGATTCTAGCTTTCACTGGAATAACAAAAAAACTCCTGATGGATCTGCTTTAAGTCTATCCTTAGAAGAGTGGTGGGGAGAGAAACAGGTTGATCCAGTCTTACAGCTCACACCTAGCAGGCATGAAGCAGGCTGGCTTAAGCCCTTTCCCCCCAACTCAGTCCACTCAACTCTGGAAGGGGAAGGCTTGTTTATCTGAGACCCCTTATAGTGGTGGTGTCTTGCCTGCAAGCACTGGTGTCATGTTTTACAGTTCCTACATTTGGGGTAGCATGGTTTGTGACCCCACAACTGACAAATTAGTTACAATACACCACATTCCATTCTAACAACTGATCCTCCATCAGCCCTGGCTAAATTGGATTTACATAACCACACCCCAGATTCCTTCCCCATTCTGGCATGAGCTGTATTTACATATCAACAGTTAATTGTCTTGCAGGACTAAACAACTTCAGCTAGATGCATTGCAGCAGTCCTTCAGTCCCTGCTTACATTCTATCTGCATGCCTGTGAGCTACCCACACAATATCCTAGCTTGCCCCTACCCCCCAAGATAGACACACAAGGGCTAGGACTGCCACCATGCTCTACGAATCCCAAGGAAAATTGAAAATGTAGTGCTTGCAGCTTGTGTGGATCAAGGGGAGTGAGCTCAATATATCATGTTTCTGTTTATCTTATGAATACACTCATAATAGTATCTCTGTGCATTGTGTCTTTTGCAGCTGGAAATGTAGCCTTGAGGGCCTCTCCATCCGCACAAGCAGAGGATAAGGAAAAGGAAGCAGAATGACATGTTCCAAAAGATCCTGCAAGCCTCTGGTGCACAGGGCTCAGAGGATCACTCTCATGAACAAAACCAACAGGAATAAAGTGAAGGAGAGAAAAGCAAAGGAAAAGAAGAGAGGCATGAAGTAGGAGATTCTAGTGCTTCTCAAGCAGCAAACAGACATGCCGGAGACTTTTGTTGACCTTTAGATTCAGTAGTCTCATGCTTGCCACCTTCTGTAGCCCATAGTGAATGGCATTCCAATACCTTCCTATAGCCCCTGCATTCCATGTAGTGTCAGGGGCTATGGCACTACACCCCAAAGGAGAGTACAGAAAATCGCAGCCACACATATATTGATCTGTGAGATACACTGTTGGTGAATGTGTTTGTGAAATGAAAATGACTGTTCTTTCCCTCTATTTATAAAATTTCACTCAGGGAGTTCTTTTCCTACCCATGGTCCAGAATTAGGAAGTTTGTCAGGTATCCAAAATTGCATATAACAGCCAGTGTGGGTAAGACAGTAGCGCATAGGTTTGTCCCCTCATTTCAGAGTGTCTCTAGTGAAAAGCCTATACTGCTGCACACTTGCATTCTGTCCATAGGGTCGCTAGAACTGCTGGGAGGTTTGTGGAAGTGCTTCATTTTAGAATGGTGCAAAGCTCTGCTGTGTTCCCCCAACCAAGTGAAAAGTAAGAAAATAGATTTACTGTACTGCTGTTGTCATTCCCCTGTACGTCCAAGGCTGTATAGTGCAAAGTCCTCCTTCCACAGGGTCCTGTTCTGGGCTAGGCTTCCATTTGCAAAGTCCAAGCTTTCCAGGAAGTTTGGGATCAAGTTCCATGAATCATGCTGCCAGCTGCTTCACTTCAGAGAACTTCCAGCTCAGACCATGATGCCATGTTTCATTAGCAAAGAGTAAAGCTGAAGCGAACAAGTGGAACTTTATTGAACCCTGTGGACAGCTCTGTCCACGTGGCTAAGTTGCTTTCAGCCCATCTTCCTGAGTCCCTGGTTTTTCTGATGTCCCCTCAATAACAATAACTATTTGATCTGAGGAAGTGGGTCTGGCCCACGAAAGCTCATCACCTAATAAACCATCTTGTTAGTCTTTAAAGTGCTACATAGTCCTGTTTTTTTGTTTCAGCTACACCAGACTAACACGGCTACATTTCTATCCCCAATCCCTCCAAGGAGCACTGATTCTGATTCAAATTCCACAGTTCCCATTTTAAAGATTTCACACCTAATCGGCAAGGTCATCCCTCCCTCTGTGTCTAAAAGCTCGTTAGCTATGTCTCTGATTTTCTTCTGTCTCATAGAAAATGTTTCAGACAATTAGCCTCCCCCTCTCCATAATTTAAACACCTGAGCTGAATTCTTGATCCCAATGGCTGAGGTACAGGAAGAGCTGAGAATATATATTCTCCCCTTTGCACGGTAGCATTCTGTTCCTCCAAGGTGCAGGACTTATTACAGTCTTATAAAGCACCTTACATTTCATAACACATGCTATGAGGCTGAAATGTAACCATATTAGTACTTGTTTATATTGCAGTAGCACTCAGAGGATCCAGTCTGTCTCTGTGCAAACATAAATTCAAAAATAGCCACTCCCCCAAATAGCTTACACAATTTAAGTGGGTGTTAAACACAACAGAGCACTGTACAACCCAACAGAAGAAAATGAATAAATATTATTATTTCCATTTTAGAGAGCAAGACAAAGATTTTCTTTGACTCACATCTCATGTCTAACTCACTAAGATCACAATGCCACTCCACACCCATCTACACATCACCTAACACCACTTTCCCTTGGCAACTCTCCAACACACACACTATCATTGCTCCAGATCTAAGTAACCTCTAGCTTTTGATAACAGACTTCAACTTTCAACAATACTCTCCAGTTCCCAGCATGCTCTTGCTGAATTTCCAGATTTTGCCACCACCTCCCAAGGCGAGAAGGGCCAGTTTCTGAATCTCATTCTTTCCCCTGTTGTGCCATCCAATCAGAGTGCCTCTGTGCCCTGTATCCCTCTTCTCCAATAAGAGACCCTGCTGGTGCAGAAGGAGGAGCCAGAGAAAGGTGTACTGAAAGGGAAACAGTAGGGGTTGGGGAATAAAAAGAGAATTGCTGCAACATGAGGTGAGAACAGAACTAAGTCTGGTATGTGAAGTACTGTGTTTGGGCTGGGGAAGAATGTAGAGATACTGAACAGGGTGGAGGTCGTGGGACTGTGAAGGGGATGACAAAAACTGAAGAGAGGGTGAGCAGTGAGGGAGGACTGAAGTGTGAGGGAGAATGAAGACTGAGAACATAATAAGGTGGAGGACTGAGGGAAGATTAATGGACTTTAGCAAAAGAAAGATCTGGAAATGGAGGAAACTTTGACTAGGGAAGTGGGAGCAAGGAAACTTCGAACATGGGGAATGATGAGTTAGGACATGCAGTGGCACTACAAGGTTAATGGAGTGCAGGAGGAATAGAATTGATGGGGAGAGCATGTTAATGCACTGAGAGGAGAAGAAATGGATTTGCATGTGAGGCTTCTTGCTGGCCAGAGTGGCAGCTGAAGTGCTCTGTGTGACTGATTTGGCACCTTATAGGGAAGGGCCCCAGTCTTGGGCTGTAAGTAGCCTTGGTTCTGAGCAATTCACCCTCTCAGCAGTGCCCAGACCAACCTGGTACATTACAAAGGGTCCTGACCCAAAATGGAGTTGTGGGGAGGATATTACAAGATGATCATGGTTGGAGGGAGGGCTGCAATATTGTTATTCTTACTTCTGCAGTACTGCTAACTGTGATGGAGACAGTGCTGACGGGAACCGACTTTTAAGCCAGCTCCTCTCAGCACCGGCTCCTGTCCCCGTCCCCTTCCTCTCCTCCCCGCTGCCTCTCATATAGAGGCAGCAAGGTGGGGAGAAGGTGAGTAGTCGAGTACTCCACTCAATTACCCGATAAGCATAGTTGACTACTCGCTTACATCCCTACACAGAACTACTTGTTTTTTAAAAAATTGTTTTTAAAGTTATAGACTAACTTGGCTACCCCTCTGAGCATATGTATATATTGTATGTAATTTGATTACCATTCAGATACTCAATCCTCTGAAATATAAGAGAACACATGCCACCAGCATCCTAAATGAACCATATGCAACAGCCAGTGATATAAATGCAACCTTTACTCTTACCACATAGTTTTGGGGTCCTGCTCAGCATATGGCTTAGCATCTCACTGCTGAGGTATTTTTAAGTATTTTGGATACTATTTCAGAGAGAGAGTTCACGAGACAACCAAGACCTACTAGCTTAAATTACAATGCTTTATGGTGAATTGGCTCCAGTTGACTTCATCAGTGCTCAGACTCAGCCCTTTCAAGTTTGCCATTATTGTACTAACGTCATCATTCCATTTATTATTGAATAGGTTGAACGTGAATTTCACCTCTCTTATGCTTAGTTACTGAACATTGTAAACTTCATGACCATTCAATTTAAAAGAAGTCAGTTCAACCAGTCCTCATGACCCATCTGGCACTTTTCTTAGAACTGAAAGGTAAAAATTCCAGCTTGAGGAGACATAACCATGCTGTGATTGAGCTAGAGCACTAAAAAGAGGGGAGCCAGGTAAGGAGCCTGCCAGCCTGTTAACTTCTCCCCCACCCCAGCACCAGCTGGTGTCCTGGACCATGTGTTGTTACCCCCTGCACCCACCCAGCATCTACTGGAGTTCTAGTCCAGTCCCACCTGAGCACCTGCAGTGCCTCCCCCAAGCACCAGCAGCACCAATGGGCCGCCCCCTCCAAGATTTAGTCAGAAATATATAGCACAAGTCATGGACAGGTCACAGGCCATGAGTTTTTGTTTACTTGTTTATGACTTTAATGAAAAATACCTATGACTTAAGCCTTATTTATCATCTAAAAATCCTGAAAATGCCTCTCCGCTAGTGTCATTGATTCCATAGAAACTATGATATAGCGATCTAATGAAACAATAACTTAATTGTCCAATCAGGAAATACTATTCAGCTTTGCTGTCTCTTTCTGAGGAAAATAAATTACTTGTTTTAAATTGGGAAAATGTAAACATTTTAATCCCGCTAAGCTATCCCAGAAGCGCCTGACATGTCCCTGCACCCCTGGCCAGAGGAGGATATCATGGGAGCTCTGCACACTGTCCCTGCCCACTAGTCCTACCTCAGCAAATCCCATTGTCCTGCAGAATCAATGCATGGGGTGGGGACATAGAGCAGAGACTCTCTGACTCTCCCCCACTTCAACCCCTCCAGGGTCTGCAGGGACATACTGGCTGCTTCTAATAGCGGCTCAAGGCCAAAGCAAGAAGGGAGCCTGCTTTAGTCCCAGTGGATTTATACTAATTTAAAATCTCTGAGATTGTCTGTAGTAGCCTCTGGCAGATTAAACCGGATGCTGGGAAACTCCCAGTGAAACCAGGAGGACTGGCAACCCTATCCCCCCTTGCCAAAAGTAAGGCCCTGATACTGTAATGGGATCCACTAATTTAGACCCTTGAGCCTGTGGGGAGTCCTACTAGAGTTAAGAGTGTAAAGGGCTCTATTGCTGGACCCTCATACAGGATTTGAGGGTTCGATGAGTTAATGTTTGTGACTCTGAATAAAATGCAAAGTAGCTGCAAATGAGTATTAATATATGTCCGATGCACTTTCTCTTCCCTTTCTCCTTGCTGATTTAAAATACAAGGTGTTGGTAAGTGTCTATTTTCACAAGGGCTCGTGGCACGAGATTCCCCCATCAGAGGGAAACAGCTTCACCAGTCGGAACTGCAGGGGAAGGAAAGCGCATCCAGTGCCGTCTATTCTAAGAAGCCGGGCGCTCCGAGGACACCCGTCGCGCAGCCGAGCTCCTTTGCTTACTTCCACGTGGCGGCCCGGAGACAGCCCAGGGGCCGCTACCCGCACACACAAGTCGCGCGCCCTGCTCTGCGCCCGGAGCGCATTTCAGCCCGGCGTCCTGCGCGGGAGCGCCCCCTGACGGGCGAGCCCTTGCAACCCCCCTGCCCGGCGAGCTCTGCGGACCAATGGGCGCGCTCTCTAATATTCATGAGCTGCCGCGGGCCAATGAGCGGCCGGGCGCGACTGGAGGGCTGAGAAGCCTTGGCATGGGGAAGACCAAGAGGAACCTGCTCGCGTTGAGGCGAAGGACGCGCTGCTCAGTGCCCAGCTCTGCGCTCCAGTGGCTGCTGGTGCCGCCCCCCGCCAGGCTGCTCTCTCGGGGCTGGGAGCGAGGGAAGAGGCGGAATAAGGGGAAGCTGCCGGTGCTTGTCACCTGCTGAGCCAGGCTGCGGGGGGCAGGGCCGGCGGCCTGCCTCCATGCGCAGGCCATGGGGAGGGGTGGCTGCGGCTTGCCTCGCCTGTGCGTGCGGTGGGCAGCGCTGCTACTAGCGCTCTGGCCCTGCTGCGCCCACGGGAACTGGATGTGAGTCGGGGGTGGGCGGCGATGGGGCTGGCGGGGCGGCCGGGGGAGGGGGCAGCGTTGTGGCCGAGAGGCTCCGGCTGCCTGGCTCTCACTCCCGGGCTGGTTCCGCAGGTGGCTGGGCATCGCCTCCTTCGGGGTGCCGGAGAAGCTGGGCTGCGCCGGGCTGCCGCTGGGCGGCCGCCAGAAGGAGCTGTGCAAGAGGAAGCCCCACCTGCTGCCCAGCATCCGCGAGGGCGCGCGGCTGGGCATCCAGGAGTGCCGGAGCCAGTTCAGGCACGAGCGCTGGAACTGCCTCCTCCTGCCGCCCGGCTCGCCCGCCGCCGCCTTCTCCGTCTTCGGCGCCGAGCTGAGCAGCGGTGAGTCCGCTCCGCGGGGGTGGGGCGGGAAGCGCCCCAGGTGCCCGCCAGCCTCGAGGGGCGGAGGCGGCCGGGGCAAAGGCGCTGGTGCTTGCCAAGCCTTGGCACCTTGGCCGGGGTTTGGCGGTCGATGAGCCGCTTTCTCCGGGCGCCCGGCTACTCCAGCCCAGCTACACCGGGGCCGCGCTCCGCCCGTGTGCGGCGCCGGGCGGGGCGAGCCAGAGGCTGGGAAGCGGGACGTCGCAGGGCAGAGCAAAGGCTCCTCTTCCTCTCCCCCCGCAACTATCCTCGGTCGGGGAGGGCACCACCGGGGTCGAGTGGGCATCCCGGGGGCCGCCGCGGCAGTGCCCTGCCTCGGGTCCCGTCCCCACCAGCTGCTCTCGAGATACTTCGCCTATAACCAGTATATTGACAAGCTAAAAGCCGCCTCCCGCAACGGCACTGGCAGCAACCTGCCCCCTGCCCGCAGAGCTTTGATCCTGATCTTCAGACTCACTAGGCGGCCGCCTCCAAAGGGGGTGGAGGGGGCACCTGGGTCGCTGTCTTCTGTGGGGAAGAACACATAATTCAATTTACTAAGGGACCTGATTCTGATCTGACTTTGCCAAAGCCTCATTTACATTTGTGCCCCTCCCTTGATTTACATGGAATTATCCTTGGCTGACATCAGTATAAGGAGAAGACAGAATAAGGTATTATTAATTTCTCTTATGCTCTGCCCTCCCTTCCTCCAGCCTACACTGGAGATTTGCCCTGTTTTCAGGCAGAAGTAGCTAACCACCAAAGACTTGATCCAGTTTCTCAAATTAATGGAGAAACTCCTTATTGATTGGTGCAGCATCAAACCCTAAGAGTAATCACATAGGGTGCATCTACACAGCATCCTTAGCTGGAAATAAGCTATGCAGTTTGAGCTATGCAAATTGGGTAGCCTATTTGGAGTGTATTTTTCAATAAACCGCTATTCCAAAATGTCCTTTAATCCTCATGGAATGAGGTTTACATGGACGTCGGAATAACCTGCATGCTGTCAAAACACAGAATAGCTATTTCAGGATATCGGAAGTATCCTGAAATAGTGCTGCAGTGTAGGTGTACCCATAGATAGGCACCATGAACACTGAAGTGCAGTTTACTCTGATTTCAAGCAAGGGTCCACTGAACCAGTGTAAATTGAGATTGATGGTAGTGTACTATATCTAGACTAGGGGTTGCAGTTAGGTGGGGGAAGTATGGCTGAAATCTTCAGTGTAGACAAGTCCTAAGTCTAAATTTCCAAAACTGTCATAGCTGATTTTAATCTTTTAATTTTGATCTGCTACATAAGAACATAAGAGCAGCCATACTGGGTCAGATCAAAGGTCCATCTAGCCCAGTATCCTGTCTGCCGACAGTGGCCAGTGCCCCAAAGGGGGGGATCACAACAGGTAATCCTCACATGATCCCTCTCCTGTCACCCACCTCCAGAGAAACAGAGGCTACGGACACCATTCCTACCCATCCTGGTTAATAGCCATTGATGGCCCTAACTTCCATGAAACAATCTAGCACTTTATTGAACCCTGTTAAAGTTCTAGCCTTCACCACATCCTCTGGCAAGGAATTCCACAGATTGACTGTGCACTGAGTGAAGAAAAACTTCCTTTTGTTTGTTTTAAACCTGCTGCCTATTAATTTCATTTGGTATCCTCTAGTTCTTATATTATGGGAACAAGTACATAACTTTTCTTTATTCACACTCTCCACACCACTCATGATTTTATATACCTCTATCATATCCCCCCTTTGTTTCCTCTTTTCTAAACTGAAAAGTCCAAGTCTTTTTAATCTTCCTTCAAATGGGAGAGAATATTCTGAGAGAAATGATTGTGCAGTTTGAATCCCTTTGTTCACAATAATGAAATTAACTGTTCAATCATAAACATTATTTCAAGCAAATTATTTGATTGTTTTACTTAAAAATACACACAGTTTTTACAATATCAATGTAAAAATGTACCATGTATACTGCAAATAAGAAAAAAAGAATTCAAATATTATTTTACTTCTTTAAATGTTTCCTATTGCTCTCTTTTGTTTTGTTTTACATTCACAGTACAGTGTATTTTATACATATTTCATTATTAATTGAATACAATAATTAGAATGTAAATCTCAGTTCACCAAGGCATTTAAGCACATGCCAGAGTTAAGCATGTAAGTAGTCTTTGGGAATTGTCTAAATCAAGGCTTAAACTAGGGGTAATTTATCTATATCTGAAAACATCAGGTTCTGCAAAGAAGCTCTCAGTGCTCTCCTGAAACCCTGCTGACTTGTTTCTGTCTTAGTGAAGTAGACAAAGTGTGGGTCTAATTTAACAATTAAACACAATTATTTCCAAATGTGTTTTAACAGAACACATTCTCTTTCAATATAATTATTTTATGCCAAATGTTTATGGGTTTGGACACTGTAAGTTATGACACAGGCATTGATTCCAGAAACATACGCATGAGTAGTCTCATTGAAGTTTTATGCATCAGGATTTCTCATCCATGTCAGTGTTCACAGGATATGGGTCTAATCCCATCTACTTGCCTGAAAGAAGAGTGCACAATTGAGTCCTTATTTGGTAGTTTAAGGTTGTGTTTTGTTGCTGTGTAACAATCATTAAATGCTATGATACAGAACTTAAGAAATAAACCACAAAAATAGTGTGCAGTCTGAAAAGACCATCCCTGCAGTTACCCCTTGTGAATAACTTTATTCCTGTGAATAGTCCTATGGAGATCAGTTGGGCCCAAATTTAGACCCTGTAGATCCTTATGTACAAGTGTCTTTACTAGCATGACTAGTCTTGTTGATGTTTCTTAAGGGAAAACGTTGTTTTGATGTTATAGTGAGCAGTATAGAAACACTAACATTGGGTTTTGTAAAAGTGGAGAAAAATAATTGTTCTTCCACTAATGGCAGGGTGTTTTAGGTGGCCTTTAAAAGTGTGCTGACCCTACCAGATCCTTTAAAGATATCAGGCCCGATTTCCCTGGGACACTTGCTTTGTCATACCTCCAGCAGAATTTGGATCTAAAGCTGGCTTAACAGTAAAGAGTCACCCCACTCGAGGATGATCCATTTATGGCGTAAAGATAGCATTGGAGTTTTCTGCCATTTCCCCTTCTTAATGCCTGCCTACAAGAGAAAAGGGGGTCTGGCTAAAACACCCTTCTGCCACTGTCACCGCTGTCTGTAGTTTCATCATCTTTTGACTCTTGCACCCTTTATAAACTAAAACAGCCCTGGTATGTGGTCTGACTTTGTACAAAGACAACACTAGAACCATGGGAATGCACAGAACTCCCACAGGAACTTTGAGTCATCTTATGATCAGAACCTTTTTCTTTTTCAGATCAATATTAATGATGGAAAATAGCAGGGCTGGTCAGGTGTTTTCTATTGAAGTGTATTTTTGAAATTCAGTCAAAATTTCATATGGCAAAAAAACCCAGATCCACTTCTGAAAGTGGTGAAAAAAATGACACACATTCAGAATGAAGTAGCATAATTAAAAGAGCAGTCCTGAAAAAATCAAATGCACATGAATAGTCCTCATACATCTGTGAAGCTTGGTTAGGCCAGAGTCTCAATTCCATTATCCTGGTGAAACTCCATGAGTCAGGCACACGAAGTCCCAAGCATGAGTGGGACTTGTTGAAAATAACAACTGTCGAGCCCTCCCATTATTCCCTTTAAATAGTAGTTATTGTGGATTGACTTGCAAGATTAATTTGTGAGAATTAATAGTGGGCAGGTGTGGCTAATCTCTAACATAACATTTCCATTCATTCTTTTTAGGCACCAAGGAATCAGCCTTTATTTATGCAGTGATGGCGGCAGGCCTGGTACATTCAGTGACTCGATCATGCAGTGCAGGAAATATGACCGAGTGCTCCTGTGATACAAACCTGCAGAATGGTGGCTCAGCCACCGAAGGCTGGCACTGGGGTGGCTGCTCTGATGACATCCATTATGGAATGTGGTTTAGCAGAAAGTTTTTAGATGGTCCTGTTAAGAACATTACTGGAAAAGAGGGGAATGGATTGATCACAATGAACCAGCACAATAACGAGGCTGGAAGGCAGGTATGCATTAGAAGTTAAAAATCTGATCAAATAATCATTCGATGTCACTGCCCAACGTGGCATTAATATAATGAGGCCTGATCCTGACTGCAAGTAAGAATTGGATTAAAAACTCCAGAGCAAAACGTAGGCTAAAAATGTAGGCTATCATCTGTCTTCAATTCACTTGAGTAGTTTTTTAAATAAATTTGTTAAAATAATTTCGAGGCCTAAGATTGAGTTGGAGTGCAGTAGAGACTTTTATCTTTCATGCTCCTTCTTCAGTACAATTTAACCACACCTTTCTCAGAAGAATGCTTGTGGTTTCATTTCCTTTCTGTTATATGCAATGAGCTGTATTTTTGAACCCTTCTAATATTGTGTGAACTGACAGAGTGGACATTAGGTTTCCTAGCTATAGTGTATTTTTTAAAAAATTGCTCTATACTTTGTTCATTGAGCATTACATGCAGAGTGTCTATATAGTTTTTTTCTGAAAGAAGACAGGCACCCACAGCTCTATTAGGGAAGTTACCTTGAGCTTTGAAATCAGTTGCAATTCTCATTGACTTCAGCAGGCTCAAGATTAGGGCCTACAGTGTGCAACCCCTGTTCCTCCAGGCACTGTAGAAACTTCTTCCTGCATGCATCTTGAAAATAAGGTGGGTAGGAGTCTGCTCTTCAAGCCCATAAAAATTCCAATTGTATGCTACTTTTGACCTTTTCATAATGAACGTCCACTGTTCCCTTATTGCTAAGTGGAAGTTGGAGGCAGCCTCAGTGACGACCATTATGAGAATGCTGCCCCTACAGGAGCTGTGGTGCTGGGGAGGAGATATGTGACAGCTTTCATATGGATCTCCTTGGGCTCTGGTGGGTCTCACAGGAAGGAACCTCACACCTTTCTCTTGGGGCTGAGTACAAACCTCTCCTCTGTCAGAGAATGATCAGGCAAAAACATAATCTGAACCTTCATAAAGGAACATTCATAAAGGCCCCCAGCAGACCAGGGAGACACGGAGCAAAGCCGCGGAGGACACGGGCGGCGGCACCGGCGCATCTTGGTCCTGCCGCCCGCGTCTCCATGGTCTGCTAGGGGGACGACGATGCAGCGAGGCCTCCATGGAAGCAGGACCACCAGCAGACCAGGGCCCCCAGCAGACAAGGGAGACGCGGAGCAAAGCCGTGGAGGACCCAGGCGGCGGGACAGCGGCACGTCTGGGCAGTCCCGCTGCCCGCATCCTCTGCGGCTTTGCAGACCAGGAAGACGCGGAGCAAAGCTGCAGAGGACCAGGGCGGCGGGACCGCAGCACGTCTGGGCGCTCCCGCCGCCCGCGTCCTCCGCGGCTTTGCTCCCCGTCTCCCCGGGGTGCTGGG